AACGAAACATGTATCCAACGTTTCAGCCTCCCAGCTTTCCTGGTTGCTGAGATGAAAGTGGGTGACAAAGTGCACTCGTTTTCCGAACACAGACATACAGACGTACACACACAGACAGCCTCTCGACAACAGCGCCATAGCGCTGCACAGCAAAGACGTATAAAAACGCATCTTCGCACTGGCAGTGCATGCGTTGGCCAATTATCTTCTAGCGACAATGACACCGTACTGCCTTGCACCACATACATCAAAAACAATCATTCAGACAGGTACTTCTGGTTAAGAAAATGGAACCAAACATCAATTCCGAATTTTTCATTTTTGTTTCCAAAGTGCCAAGGACATATAAAAAATTATCAGCGCCAATTTGCATTATAAGTGTGATGTATCGTACGCGAAAGTGTTGTATTCACATGCATTTACCCAAGCATTGTGATGAACCACTTATACAAGCACTAGCTGCCAGGTTAATGGAGATTCAAAATGGCCAGCATCAAATTGCATGTGTCCGTTTATTGGATGCACAAAAAAGTGATGGTATTTTCAGGTGCATCCGTCCGCAAGCTGTGAAAATTTCAGTTTAGTAGATGCTGAAGGTTAAGAGATCAAGAATGCCGGGGAGAAGTTATGCACGCGCAGAAACAGAGAGAGAGAACTTCTCGACAATACGCACTTCTTGCACCTGTGGAATGCTGTCTTAGCCTGGAAAGCATCAAGCTTGCTGGTATGACCGTGCTTTTTTGCATCAAACTTGAAACAAAAAGATATTTGCAAGAATATTTGTTACTTGTATTTAGTGCTTACTCATTACAGTAAGTCGTCGTAAATTTTCACAAAATAAAGTGGAAAATTCCCGTTGATCGGTTGTTTGGTGAAAATGGCCAAGCTATTCTATAAGCAATTTTTCTCGTCAAAATTTTTGTGTGCCTATACATGAGAAACATTATATACTTGGGGCTCGATTTGAAATCTATAAATCGTAAGCAGGTAGGGAAAATTTTGACGCTCTAGCATTTCTGGCTTCTGATTTATTAAATTTCATGTCAGAACTTTCACATGTCCCTAACTGAAATCGGACGTGGTGAACAGCTGCATTTAAGAGTTTTGGGTTGTGAATGAACAGGGACATTCCCCTAAAGCTCCAACTTTATAGCTTTAATTGTTCCCAAGTTAGTAGTTTCCCCGCCAAAATTTCAGCGTTTTCTTGCTTGAGGACCACGCATTCTTGGGAGCTGAACTTGGAGTCTCTTGGTCGCAGGTAAGTAGGGAAAATCTCCTTCAGCTTTCTAGCTTTTCATGCGTTTTTGCATGCACGCATATGCGAAAACGCATATTGTGACGACCCCGGTGCGTGTGTGTGTGTGCTTCTGTCCTGGTGTTTCAACTCGGCACCCAAGTAAGCTCCGAAGCCAGAATTTTGCAAGTAGGTTCCCCGGTCAAGTGCCACCCCAGGACCGCGGTACCAACCCTCAAGCACGTCTGAGCCCCGCGTACGAGCGGCTCAAAGTTTTGGCGGGAGAATCGCTAACTCGAGAATCAGAAAAGCTAGAAAGCTGAAACTTTGGGATTATTTTTCCGGTCCAAGTAGGACTCAAAGGTTTCAAATTCAGCCCTCGGGGGTTCGTGGTTCCCGCGTACGGCCCCTTGAGGGTTCCTGGCACGAAAATCGCTAGCTCAGGAACCGAGAAGACTGGAAGGCTGAAACTTTCAGGAAATGTTCCAAATTCACCTGCAATTTCAACTTATCAAAGTTACCCCTCAATGTGCATGGCTGCCACGTACGGCCCCGTGAAAATTTTTGGCGGGAAAATTAATAACTCCGGAACCAGGGAAGCTGGGAGTCTGAAACTTTCAGGAAATAGTTCTAACTCATCTACAACTTCAATTTATCAAATTCCGTCCCCCAAGTGTGCGTTGCTGCCACGTACGGCCCCGTGAAAGTTTTTGACGGGAATATTAATAACTCCGGAACCAGGGAAGCTGGGAGTCCTAAACTTTCAGGAAATGTCCCTAACTGAACTGTAACTTAAACTTATCAAACTTAACCCCCCTCCCCCCCGATGTGCGTGGTTGTCACGCATAGCCCCGCGAAAGTTTTTGGTGGGAAATCGGTGACTCGGCAAGCAGGGAAAGTGAAAGGCTGAAATTTTGCAGATGTATTTCTAATCCTATGTACAACTTAATATTACCAAATTCAGCCCTCAGGTGTGCGTGAATCACACGTGACGGTCTCTTAAATTTTTGGCGGGAAAAGTGCTACCCCTCACCATATCTTTAGCTAGCCTTGGGAACCGCCAAAGCATCCACGACACGCAACCATTCGAATCACGTAGCCAACCGCTTCCCCTCTTTCTGCAGTCCCGCCCCAGGGACCCGCATAGTAAACCCGCCCCCTTCCCCC